TTTTGGAAATCTTTCCAAAAGGGTCTTGGTACTCGTGTTATGCTTAGTACGACATTTCATCCACAAACCGATGGGCAAGTGGAGCGTACTATCCAAACTTTGGAAGATATGTTGAGTGCTTGTGCAATTGACTTTGAGTAATTGGGATGATCACTTGCCTTTGATTGAGTTTGCATACAACAAAAGTTACAAATCTAGCATTTGTATGGCTCCATTCGAGGCTATATATGGTAGGAGGTGTAGATCTCATATAGTTTGGTTTGAAGTGGGTGAAGTCACTTTGATAGGCCTCGAGTTGGTGCATGAGGGAATGGAGAGAGTTTGGCTTATTAGAGAAAGGCTGAAAATGGATCAATGTCAAAAAAGGTCTTATACCGATGTTAGAAGGAGAGACCTTGAGTTTGATGTTCATGATTGGGTCTACTTGAAAATTTAACCCACGAAGGGTGTAATGAGATTTGGGAAAGGGAAGTTTAATCCCCGCCATAAGGGCCCATATCAGATTTTGAGACAATTTGGTAAGGTCGCTTATGAGCTTGATTTGCCTAATGATTTGGCATCAATTCATACGGTTTTCCATGTATCTTTATTAAAGAAATGTGTTGGAGATCCGACACATATAGTTCCCTTAGAAGGTCTCACAGTTAAGGAGAATCTTTCTTACGAGGAAGTTCGATTGAGGTTTTGGACTGACAAATTAAAAGATTGAGAAAAAAGAGTTTCTTCCGTGAAGGTTTATTGGAAGAATCAATTAGTTGAGGGTCCTATTTGGGAGGCCGAGGCCTATATGATGTCATGTTAACCTCATCTTTTTCCCTCCGTCCCTACTCTAGCTTGAGGTATTTAGTCCTCATGGTTTACTCTTTTGGTGTCATGTGTCTTAGATATTCACATGATTTCCTCATTATGCATGATTCATGTGAAGCATAAATTTTGAGAAAAAAGAGTTAACTTGATTGATTTCTACATGTTTATGTGCATTTGAGTATGTGTTGCATATAGACTTCATGATAGGACGTTCTGAACATGCTTTAGCTTAGAGTTGATGTTTCCACCTCGAATATGTGCATTTATGTGATTGTATTCATCTTGGGATGTTAGGTTAAGTTCCTACCCTCTTTATGATGTCTTGAAACTCATTCGAAGATGAATATTCCCAAGGAAGAGATAAAATAACACCTCGGATTCAAATAGATAGAAAGTTGCAGGTTTGTAATATCTGGTGCCAGAACCAACGGAACAACCAACAACATGTGGTTTGACACACGGTCCGTAGGTCGGCTCGTGGATGGCTAGTCCAGATTTTCTAAAATTTTAAATGTTTCAGTATTTACATACGATTCACCAAGATGGTCCATTGTCCTATACACGAGTCCCAGGTAGGTCTCGTAGTTGAGTCCCGAACTTAGAGAAATTTTAGAGTCAAAAGTTGGGACCCACAACTGAGGTGTACGGCCCGTAGATAGACCCACAGAACATACATGGGTCTGTTATTGGGGGTCCAAAATTTAGTGATCTCTTATCTCACCACGACCAACCAGGATGGTCTGTGGTCTGACTAACGCACCATAGGTTTGGCCGTTGCTGTGGTCGGTCGTTATTTTTAAGAGGGGCTTTTGGGACTTTTCCTAATTATTCTAACTTAATACTTTGTCATTTTAACTTTTATTAGAGGCCCTATATAAGCTTTTTAACCGCTGAAATCTCTTAATTCAATTCATTATCTCAAATTCCTATAAGAAGAAGAAGTTCATCCTGTAAATTATTTCTCTCTCTAGAAGTTAGAATAAGAAGATTAGTGTTTCAAGTCAAGTCTCCAATTTCACCATTGATTGTAATCGCTTGGCATCAAGGTATGATAGTATTCACCTATGGAGACCGTTCTTCTATAGGGTTCCCAAATTCTCCTATTTTCATAAGATAGAATCTCCAATGGAAGTTAGGGTTTTCACTCAACCTCATAGGTTCTTTTCAATTATGATATTATTGATTGATTTATGTCCTTTGGTGCATTAATTGAAGAAATTGCAAGCTTCTCAGTTGAATCCCCATTAACCCATGTGAAACCCTTGTTTCCTAGAATTGATCAAATGATGAACTTTTTTGAATCATGAAAGATGAGTTTTACGAATATATGCATGTTCTTATGAAATTGCTGAAAATGATTTAAGATTTCCTTTGAGAGTGAAGCATCAATGTTGTTGTTGTTATTGTGAAAGGATTTCTTATATAGATGATTATTAGGGTTGAAAGGTTTTCTCAACTAAACTCTGAATCAAGATTAAGGAGATATTCTAATGAAACCTAGCTTGAATTGGTTGCTTAATTGTACCTTTCCATGGATGATAATATGAATTTAGCTTGGATTGGCTATCTGATGTGCCATTCCATGGATAATAAGACAAGTTAAGAATAATGACTATTTCATGGGATTTAGCTAAGTACCGAGAGGATATTGAGATGGAAGCTCTCACGTAACTTGAGGTCGGGTTACTAGCAATTTCCTTATCCCATACCTATGTAACCCCCAAGGATGACTGTCTTAAATAGACATTAGCTAGTTGATCCACATAAGCTATAAGTTCATGGTCTTACATTGGCAAAAAGGACACCCCTTTTCGGTGTGGGGTAGACACCAGATTCCATGTTAATATCTCGCATGGTCTCTATGTCGGTTAAAGGTAAATATCCCACAATAATGAACTAAGTTTACTTCTAGAAGCATCTCAGGAATGTGTTTAGGATATTAGCTTGCATTGACCATGTTTTTATGATTTATGTTTTCTAACCCTTATATATCACGATTTAGTTTGGTCATTGCATGTCATAAAAGGTCCTTTTTGCATGATTTCATACTTTTATTCATTGTTATCATACTTGATACACTTCATGTACTGATGCATACTCTTTCCTACATTCTTTCATTAATGTAGGGTTTGACTCTCCTTATTTGCATGTCCATGGCTAGGGATCACTTAGTAGATTGAAGATTGGTGAGTCATCATGTTCTGAGGACCGAGCTCTATTGCTTATTAACTTTACTTCTTTTAAGCATTGTATGTGATGTACGGGTTACGTCCCGATCACTCTTGATGTACTAGATGGCTTTGTGACTATGTTAGACTTCCGCTACATTTTATAAACTCTTATGATTCTCTTGATCTCTATTATCTTGTATGATGTCTGCTAAGTACTTGTTTAGGGCCTCTCGGAGTTTTATACGACATGGTTTGCCTAGGGTATACGGTAATACCTCGCTATTTGAAAGAACTAGAATTAGAAAGAACACAATTTTTGGAAAGATTAAATTTGGAAATATTGGCAAGTTATGCTAAGTATAAGTTTTGGGTCAACTTCAAACGACCATAACATTCAGTAGAGAATGAGTTAGGTGGGCTATAAGATATCAAATGAAATTTCTTTGAATTATCTTTCCAACGCCACCGAGTTTGCTAATTTTCGAGCTCGTACGAGGGAGATATGTCCATTTGAAGTTGGGCTGTCTAGATATGGAAAGTTACCCGGATTTAAGAGGGGTATTTTGGTCTTTTCCATATCCAATTAAGTTATTTCATTTTTAGTAATTAGTTAGGGGTCTAAACTGATTTGGTTCAGTTTACGCTTTACAAAATTACGTTAGGGCTTTGAGAGAAGAGAAAAGAGGAGAAAAGCCAAGGTTTCGTCGCGTTCTTGAGTTTCACTTGCGGATTTCACCAAGGGTTAATCCCTACGAGGTATGTGAGATCACATAGCATTGGGTTCGTTCACCCATTCGTCAATCATAATTTATTTCAGCGTATTTATGTTCTTCATGGATTTTATTGAACTTTCTATTGGGATCTTGGTTGTCTAGTTCTTGAGAAGTTCTTGAGTTAATTTCATGAGATTTGAAGTTGTTTTTGAGTAGATTCTTGTATACTTTGTATACAGAGTTTACTTTGTATTTACATATACAATAGAGTTTAAATTGTATCCTTGCATACAAACTCAGTTACTATTGTATTTTTCAATACACAGAGTTGTTATTCACACGCTTTAAAAGCTTTTCTTTATATTGTGTTTATATTACTGCTTTATATTGAAATGAGTTGAGTTGAGTTGAGACCAGGTATGTTCTCTTCAGTTCCCTTTCAAGCTTATGTCTTGCTTCAGAATTCCCCTCGCATGCTCGTACATTCAATGTACCCATGCCATTTGTCCTGCATCTTTTTATGATGCAGATACAGGTAACCATAATAAGCATGCAATGCTTCGTTGATCCAGTTGAGCTTCAGAGTTGTTGGTCAGCCTCCTTGCTTCCGGAGGATCCCTTTTCATTACTTACTTATTCTAGTTCATTAGGATGTCGTGGGTCTTGTCCCGACGTCCATCACAATTGTTAGAGGCTTCATAGACAGTTAGTTGATGTTAGTTCATGAGTCTCTTCCATTTCAGTTTTGATGTTTGAGACTTGAGTTGCCATTTTGGCTAGTGAATGTTTCTTTCTACATTATAAGTTATCTACTGGGCTTTTAGTTTACTTTTTAAATTACTATAATCTTGAGTAAGTTTTTCACTGGGTAGTTAGCCAGGCCAAGGGTTGTCTTGCGGCCAACAATGGTTCTCAGGTGCTAGTCCCGCCCAGGGTGTAGGCTCGGGGCATGACATATACTTTGGGTTATGACATGCTCAATAGGCCTATGATACCTACTACGTATCTATTGTTTTGGTACTCATACTACATCTGTCATCTATTTTGTGATGCAGGTCTGAGCACCAGTTACCAGCGTTTATATTCAAGCCTATTGCAGCTTTTGTTCATTGGCGAGGGTAAGCACATGAAGTCCTGGACTTACTTGTCTTGTCCTCCAAATGTCCGTCCAATTGGATTTAAATGGGTTTATTCAATTAAAATTAATTATGATGGAACTCTTGATTGGTACAAAGCTTGATTGGTGGTCCTTGGCAACAAACAGGAGTATGGTGTAAACTATGAGGAGACTTTTGCACCTGTAGCGAAAATGACTACGGTGCAAACTATCATTGCCATTGCTGCATCACAAAATTTTCCTCTTCATCAAATGGATGTCAAAAATGTTTTTCTTCATGGTTATTTCAAAGAAGATATTTATATGAAACCCCCACCGGGTTTGTTCTTATCACCTACATCAGATGTATGCAAGTTGAAGCAGTCTTTATATGGATTAAAACAAGCTCCAAGAGCATGGTTTGACAAGTTTCAGTCTACTTTGCTTCAATTCTCCTTTGAGCAGAGCAAATATTATTCGTCTTTGTTTCTTTGAAAAACATCTACAGGTTGTGTTCTTCTTTTGGTGTATGTAGATGCCATTATTATCACAGGAACTGATTCTTCACTAATCACTAGCCTCCAGCAGCACCTTAAGGATTCTTTTCATACGAAAGATCTTGGTATTCTTACATAATTTTTGGGGTTAGAAGTTCATTATAATTCTTTAGGTGTGTTCTTGAACCAACAGAAATATACTCAGGACTTGATTGCTTTGGCTGGTCTACAAGAATATTCCTCTGTAAATACTGCATTAGAATTGAATTTAAAGTACTGTCATGCAGAAGGAGATCTTCTTCCTGATCCAACATTGTATCGGCAATTATATGGGAGCCTAAATTATCTTACTATTACTCAGCCTGATATCTCTTTTGTAGTTCAACAAGTGAGTCAATTTATGCAGGCTCCACACCATCTACATTTGGTGGCTGTCCGTCGCATAATTCGATATCTCTTGGGAACATCTACTCGTGCATTGTTATTTCCTAGTGGTTCTGAGATTCAGCTTAATGCATTTAGTGATTCTGATTGGACTGGATGTCCTGATACTCGTCGCTCCGTCACGGGTTGGTGTATGTTTCTTGGAGATTCCTTGATATCTTGGAAGAGCAAGAAGCAAAACCATGTATCAAAATCTTCCACCGAATCTGAATATCGAGCAATGTCTACTGATTGCTCTGAGATTGTTTGGCTTCGTGGTTTACTTGCAGAAATTGGATTTCCTCAATCTAATCCCACTCCTCTCCATGCTAACAACACAAGTGTTGTTCAGATTACTACTAATCCAGTTATCATGAAAGGATCAAACACATTGAAGTCGACTGTCATTATATCAGAGAAGCTGTAGATAAGAGAGTCATTACTCTTCCACATGTATCCACTGATCTTCAAATAGCTGATGTGTTTATAAAGTCTATGGCACGATAACGTCATCAGTTTCTGGTAGGCAAATTGATGCTTTTTGATCCACCGACATCAATTTGAGGGGGGATGTTAGCATGATTGGACAGATTCGAAATATCTGTACATATCTATGTTATAATTCTAAATATTTGTGCAATGATGATAGGAAAGAGCATAGATTAATGTAGCATATTTTCAGATATATTACAATTAGGAATAGCATATATTTAGGGATATATACCAGATTTTTAGGCATGTAAATCAGAATTCTTTCTATTTAATGGAAGAACTCTCATTTGAGAGAACTCATTCAGCAAAATTGACAATTCAAACCATACCAGTTACCAAACTCAAATCCACAAAAGACCTTATCACTACACTCGAGCTGAACGTATGTTGACTTCTTCCTCAAATCTTATCCAATAGTTGTTAACTCATATGAACAACATGTAACACTATCACCATAATCAGAGCAAATCAGATATAATTAGATATCTCTGAACCCAATTTTCCACTCTCTGAAAATACATATTTGACCCTTGCAATCACAGTATATATCTTTGTTCTCGCCTCTTTCCGAAGGATAAACTACATCCTATTAATTCTTTTCATTTGTGACTCTAGTTCCTTTCAATTTTATTCGAGTGGTGTCCCAGGACCTTCTACAACTTTTCATACGACCATATTAATAACTAAATAGTAGCAAACCACAACCTTAGATACTCCCAAGTCGTCATTACATAACAAAAAATTGTTTAACCAACAATCCTTATTATATAGCTGCATTTCAAACACAATCAAGTACAAACTCTTATTACCATCATGCTTAGTTAGCCCTTGCCATCACTATAAAATAAACTTTGTCATCGACATGACAACTCAAATCCAGTAATACCAACCAAATCCAAAGGACTCACTCAATTTATATGCATTTTCATTGTAAATCCGTAATTTCCTTCACACAAGTATAATCATTGGAAATTTTCTTTACCCATAGGCTTTTCATTGCAATATCGATCCACTCCGTTGGAGCTTATGACAAAAACAGTAGAATTTATTTAGAATCCTTGGAATAGACTTCACAACCTAACACATTAATACCATACCAAAGAACCACCACTAAAATATTCCTTATAAATAATGTTTTAACCCAAGTTAACATAGTAAAAAATTAGTTTGTTTATCATAATTAAATGCAACATCGTATCTCATTATATGAGCATGTGATACAACTGATAACTCCTTAAGTAGTTATTATTCACACTTGATAATAAACATAGTTGTTTCATATGCCACTAGTATAACCCCGTGAAAGTTCGTTAGATCCACCACTAGTACACATTATATCTACCAAAAATATCGTACCTAAATAGCCAACACATTTCTACCCGTTGAGTAATTGCAAAACAATATCCAGTATGTTCGTTCTCTAGCTCAAAGTGTATATGTATTATTTTGTAGATCAGGTCGATAGTAGAAGTAACACTTTTCATAACTCTAACCAAGTAAGATTCGGTACTGTTGTAGTAGTCGTATCATGACCATATTAATATACAGTCAATTTATGAAAGATTCCGACATCAATTGGCGCAATATCATTCTTATCATTCGCTAAGCAATCCATACATTTTGTGACAACTCTACTAACTTTAGTTTCCAAAGTTGTAGTGTTCATTTCTATCCTTTCTTTTAATCATTCCATTTGCAATTGTCGAATCACTCCAGATATCGCCTATACCACACAACTACTATTCCCAATACTGGTAACTAACCAAAGAAAGATAGCACGTTCATTAATTTTCTTAAACCATTGTTCAATCTCATCATTCAAATATCCTCAATATGCATTGTCGAGCTATCACTTTACTTAAATCCTTCGAACCGCTAAACATTCTGAATATGACCACACATCATTTCCTTAAGTATATCACTTTTACTATAGTACCCCTATCCAATATCAAAGCCATACACAACACACCAACTACTCACTTAAGGAACCGCACACGACTCATCACTATAAGTGAGAGAGAATGGAATGATGTGATAACAACCAGAACGGACAAAGGATGCACGATAGAGATTCAAGAAGTGAAGGTTTTTCCTAAAAGTCATTATAGCATCTCAAAATAAACGATAGACGTTTCTGTGCCGATCCTCGAGACCCTACTAGACTTGGCTTGTGAACGGTCAGACCGATGAACCTGGGGCTCTAATACCATTTTCTCATGACCCAAAAATGGATGTGATGGCACTCGTCTTATCCTACAAAGAAAAGTCGGCCTAAAACCTAACCATTACAATAAAGTGCAAAATTAAAACATTGATAAAAGTCCATTACTATAAAATAATGCAGAAATTCATAATGAAATTAAATATACCCTAAAAACCTGGTTGTCACGTGCACAAGCCTCTAATGTATTCACTAGAATTGAAAGAAAATATAACTCTCAAATGATGTTGTCTCTAAAATTGAACAAGATCATAAATAGGAGTAAGAGGGTCCACTGAGATGACAAACAACTACCTCAAAAAGCTCCTTAGGAAGCCTCAAGCAAGAAGAGGAAAGAGAGTATCATTAAGATTTAGGTTAGTAACCTAAAAAAATGTAGAAGCAAGGGGTGAGTACTAAACCACGTTGTACTAAGCAAGCAAACTCCTAAACACCGAAGTAAGAGTATAGAATATGGGTACTCCTACCACCCCAACTTAACCTCGACAACTGCAACCTGCATGAAACAACCTCAGCCTAAAAGTTCACAGTTTCAATAGCACATAGATTAATAAGAACATTCCAATGATTTTGTATCAACAATACACAAGATCAAGTTCATCAATGACAAGTTCCATAGAAAGGCACTCACAAGTTCACAAATGATATAGATATGCAATGTAATCAAATGCAATACAAAGTATAGTGTTGCATGTCTGACCTAGAGATACACATGTGGTGTCTCTCAGTCCGGGACCCATGACATATCTGTCAATGTATCTATCACGGCGTGTGACACGAACCTCAATAATAAAATCCGTCATGGCATGCGAGACGTCCCTAAATAATAGAATTCATCATGGTGTGCGACACATCCCTCGAAATTGTATATCCTCTTTAATCTCTTATTCTTTCTCAATTAACATAAAGCTTGTCACAACCATGTCTCAAAATCAATTCAAATGACATGTTCACACAAATAATTATGAGATGAGCATTTTCATACCAATACACAATTCACATCAACACAATCGTGATACAACATCAATTATGAATCAATAAGACTTTCAAACCATTCTCAACACATCACATACGAATAATCAATAACATTACCTTTTATTACCCCCTTTTCATCATTAAGATTATTCAAAAGGGACAAGTTAATCCATCAGCAAATGTCATTACTCCCCAACACATACCACAAGAAAATACACGATTCTATACAATTAATCAGGGTTGAGAAATCCACTTGCCTCAAATAGTCGAACAATAACTCCGGGACTTGAGTCTTCCCCTTTCATTGGGATTCCAAATAAATGCAATCTATTCAAAAAAGTAATCACAATAAGATTTCAAAACTAATAACACTCATATTAATATATGTCTAGCCTAGACACATAAAAACTCACTCAAATCTATAATCAAGTTCCTAATCATGATGCCCATGAACATGTCAACTCTAATATTTTCCGTCTATCAAGCCTAGAGTTAAGTCTTTATTCCTACAATATCATAATTTAATGGTATTCATATAATACAATACACCTAATATTTAATTACTTATACCAATATATCAAAACTTAAATCATAATATGTTATGATAATAATAAAAAAAACAACGAAATCAAGTTAAGAACAAAAATCACCAGAACACACAGTTTAAGAACCTCATATTGATATACCCTATATTCCTATTTTTTAGTCTCAATAATCATGATACAATTGTAGCCTCAATCAATACAATATAATTGGGCAAAAATATCCTCTTTCTAATTTCCAAAAATGTCTTATACATATAGACCAATTTCCAGTTTCTTTTAATTCCAAATCAATTTTTGTCGTGTTTCCTCATCATTACCTTATTAATATTGTCTACTCACTATCTCTATCCTAGATAAACTGATCACATTATAAATAATAATTTCAATTCCCACACATACACTAGGCTCTAACCACTATAACCCAAATTAAATATTCATTACTACTTATTCCTCTTGCTATAGAATACTTAAGCATGTTATTATCATTGACAGTTTATAAAAGAAAATTGAAAACGTTTGGAAAAGTTTGTAGTACCCGCGGTAGTTGTTTTTGACTTCCAGATTTACTTTTTCTCCTTCATTATATGATCTAAAACTATTAAACCCTACCAACTTATTTCAATGCATGTGTTAATTGATGTATGGTATTCTGTTGTCTTTCGTTTTTTGTTATTTACTCTTTTAGCTCCTATTTTTTGTTTACATGGTGTTGTGAACCACCAGTGCGTTTTTGTTATTATATGTGGGTATAATTTTTCTAAAAATGGCATTCCTAATAACATATCTTTTGTAGTTAATTCAAAGTTATATATTTCCTCTATAGTTAGTATCTTATCCCATATTTGTACTTTTATATTTTTTGCCTTATATGTGATCATGCTTCCTTCATTATTAAATCCTGTTACTACTATTGGTGTTTTTAACTTTTCCCATTTATCTTCCGGTAAACAATTGTATTTACATATATTAGCTTCTGCTCCCGTATCTATCATCGGTGTATAATATCTGTTGTAATATCCCTCTATTATTATCTTTGCAAGTATATATATTTTCATATTTTTATCCTACTAAAGTTCTTTTTATTATTACTCTTTTATTTTCATAATTTATTGTTAATTGTTTGTCTTCTAGATTATATGGTTTAACTTGTTCTAACCATTTTATTCCTAAAGTTATATTTTCATCTCCTTGATA